AACGAACAAAGGAACGAACAAAGGAACGAACAAAGGAACGAACAAAGGAACGAACAAAGGAACGAACAAAGGAACGAACAAAGGAACGAAGGAACGAACAAAGGAACGAACAAACGAAGGACCAAAGAAGGAACAAACAAAGGAACGAACAAACGAAGGACCAAAGAAGGAACAAACAAAGGAACGAACAAACGAAGGACCAAAGAAGGAACAAACAAAGGAACGAACAAAGGAACGAAGGAACGAACAAAGGAACGAAGGACCAAACAAAGGAACGAACAAACGAAGGACCAAAGAAGGAACAAACAAAGGAACGAACAAACGAAGGACCAAAGAAGGAACAAACAAAGGAACGAACAAACGAAGGACCAAAGAAGGAACAAACAAAGGAACAAAGGAACGAACGAAGTAACGAACGAAGTAACGAATGAAGTAACGAACGAACGAAGGAACGAAGGAACGAAGGACCAAAGAAGGAACAAACAAAGGAACGAAGGAACGAACGAAGGAACGAAGGACCAAAGAAGGACCAAACAAAGGAACGAAGGAACGAACGAAGGAACGAACGAAGGAACGAAGGACCAAAGAAGGAACAAACAAAGGAACGAAGGAACGAACGAAGGAACGAAGGACCAAAGAAGGACCAAACAAAGGAACGAAGGAACGAACGAAGGAACGAACGAAGGAACGAAGGACCAAAGAAGGAACAAACAAAGGAACGAAGGGACGAACGAAGGAATGAACGAAGGAACGAAGGAACAAAGAAGGAACAAACAAACGAACGAAGGAACGAACGAAGGAACGAACGAAGGAACGAAGGACCAAAGAAGGAACAAATAAAGGAACGAAGGGACGAACTAAGGAATGAACGAGACCCCATGTCTCCAAACTGAGATCAAGATGTCTAACAGATCAGCTAACAGATATTGACAGTGGCTGAAAACTGACAGAGAAATCAGAACACACAGGTCCGGACAAGTGTTGAATATAAATAGAAAATACGTAGAACTTGTGTCTGAACTTTCTGAGCTCTTCACCAACCACACGCAACAGTATAATCAGAAGTTCTGAGTGCTTCTTCAAACCTCCTCAACACGATGTTAGGAGATGAGGCAGCTGAAAGGAGCTGAGGGAACACATATTTCTGCGCTGCTTCAAAGAGTTGTGTTTACTGAATGTGCTGTGTAACGTTTCAGGTGTGTTTGTGTTTACAGGAAGCTGCGGGAGGTGACGAACGCTCAGAAAAACGCACAGAGAGCAGCCATGAGAGCTCACTTCAGGAGGAAATATCAGCTCGCTCAGGTTTGTAGGAACAACAGTAAATAATAGTTTCTGTGTTCATGTTTTGTGCAAACAGAAAGCAACACAATGTGTTGCTCTAAAACACACAGACTGTGGTGGTGGCATTTTATTTCCTACATAAAATAACATAAATGTGACACATTATGTGTCAGCATTACAAAATGTTTGGAGTAAAAAATCTTTCATTGAAGAAGATCATCCACCATGTCAAAGTTTTCAACAGTGGTTCATCTGTAAAACTAGCTGTCCATCTTTGGATTGGCTAATGCTGATTAACTGTGGCGGCCATCTTGAAATGAGGTGACGTCAAAAGTTAATCAGCTGTAGTTACATCCAGTTTATTTTAAAGAGTTTAATTAAAATTCATGTACTGGTCTATGAGATAATTTACTAACAAACATGATGGAAACACACACGATAACTTGCCTTTCATGATGGTGGGTGGTAGTCAATAAAGTCTAAAACATCCTGAATAAATGCATTTAAAGTGTCTGTGACATCAAACTTTTGTAATAAATATGAATGTATTTTTGAAAAGGTAACATTGACAACATATTGTAAAAAAAAAGATTTCATGCAGCTGAGCTGAACAGTTGAGATATTCATATGTGAAGAAACAGGAAGTGATGTCAAAGGGGAATTTCTGAATGTAAACAGAGCGTTGCTACAAAGGCCGACAACACAGACTGTAGAGAAGATTCTGATGTTTCTTTACATTATTTTAATATAGTAAAGAGATGAGGAAGAGTCAGAGTTCAAATAATATTGTTTTAATAAACAAAAACCACAGTTTTTTTTCTTGAAGAGTTCCCCTTTGATGTCACTTCCTGTTTCACTTTGTCTGAGCAAAGTTCCAAAGAAAATGTGCATTTATGGGACATAATGGTTAAACCCATGTGTATTATGTCAAGTTTCCTAAATATAAAGATGTTTTATTTGACATTTTGTATTTCATGGATATGCATGTCACAGGCACTTTAATTAACATTAAAAAGTGTCCCTCAGCAAAAAGTAGTACATGCAAGTATCCTTTAAGTATACTAATTTTAAACTTAAAGTAAAAGAGTATACTTCCAGTTTACTTTTTATGTACTTATCTGAGAAATACTTAACCAAGTTTATCTTAAACTATACTTGGCTTGTACTAAAAGTATACAAAAAAATTAAGTATACTTAGTCTATAGTAATGTTTAAAGTTTTGACCAAGATAAATTTTAGCAGTACACTTTTTACACAGACTGGTTTATTTGTAGTATATTTCAAGATTAAACTAAACGTATACATAGAAGATTACTTTCAGTGTACTTCTGAGTATACTTTCATAAACTTATTGTGGGCCAACTTAGAAGTGTACTTAGAAGTACAGTTGTTTGTAAATGGCTAATATACGTATATCATTGTACATGGTAAATAAAAGTACACTTACGGACATACATTTGTGTATAATTAGTATACTTAATGACAAATACTTAAAGTATACTAACATTATAACAGTATACTTAAAGTATATACTTAAAATGTCCCAATTTAGTACGAATGAGTATTAAATCAGTATACTTTCAAGTATACTACAAATACATGATGCCTAGTATACTTGATATACTTAAACTTATACTCAAATATACTTATTAAAATGAACTTCAAGTATAGTACTTTTTGCTGAGGGGTCACATTTTCTGCCAAATTTAAGCCAAGACATCTCTGGATAATTACATTTTTTGAAGACATCTTTGCTATCTAAAACAGAAACTGTGATCTAACAAAGATATTATAATATCTTTTCTTAAAAAAGGCCAGTTTCTCTTGAATTACCCAAAGAAAATGCATCTTTTCACCTCAGGACTTCTAGTCATGGAAGTTTGCTGCTCTGTCGAGGAATCCAGTTAAATTACAAAATAATCTATTTTATGATAACAGAGTTCTTTTTTTATGTTCTGAGTTCTTGACCTTGTTTCCCTGTTTATTTTCGGCCACCATGACTCAGGACCCAAAGGACACAAACCACCTGAGGTCTGCTGGCGGAAAAGTATGGCTCCCCCACGAGCTGTCGAAGATTATTCATCCTGAAGCCAAAGCCAAGGACGATGGCTTCAACCTGCTGAGCGCCTTTCAAGGCCTCAGCATCAACACGGCAGTTTTCACAGGGAGGAAACCCTGCAGGACGCCCACTCCCATCCCCACATCTGGAGACGCTTGTCGAGTCATGTGATCAGTGTAATCACACAGATGGGTACTGCATGACAATAAATCCCTACCTGCTGCTGGCTCAATGGCAAAATGCAGACTTTTAAAAACATTCTTAAGACTTTTATTTAAAAAAGTTCAAATATACCTGTCAATCAAGGTAATATCTCGTGAAATGTACTTAAAAATGTGTTTGATGAAGATACACGCAGTCTGAGTTCAACTTTATTCAATGCAGGGTTTATTTTTATATGTCAAGGCAGCGACAACATTACGGAGCCCGTCCAGTGACACTGGATAAAAAACGATTGTGTGGCCACAAAATAACTCGTGGCCACACATTGAATAGCCACGAGTTAATAAGTTAAAAATTTTTTGTGTAATGATAACTAGAAGCACTCGGAGAGTACATAACTCCGCTAAGACCAATTTCCTCCATCCTGTAAGAGTTAATGCACAAAAACAGAGATGGAAACACATTTGCTGAATAAGTTCTGACGTAGTGAACATTTAAGCAGCAGTATGCACGGGGTTTTTTCTGGTGGAGTCCAATGTGAAAAAAAGTCAGACTGGTCACCGGACGTTATTCATGGTCAAACTGGTGTGGGATTAAGCTCCTAAGTTTTCATCAGTCACATTTTACCATGTAAAACGTCTGTTTTATCTCCTTGTATGAGTTTGTAATGGTTTGACTCTCTTTATAAAGTGCTTCCTGGCTCCCCCCGTCTCCAAACTTTGAGGCCCGGCAGCTCTCTGTTTACAAGCCTAGTAGAGACAAACTGTTTTGATTGGTTGTTTCAGAAATGTGGTGTGTTTGAGGAAATGGGAAAAATAAGTTTCATGGTGCAGTCACGCACTTCCTGGTCACAAAACGTTCTGTAAATGTGCACATTATGGCAAAAACTATTCATCATTCAATGTGGTTTTAACATTACTTTTATAAAGTTTGAAGTCCGTGCTGTCCAATCCAGCTCACTGTTTTTTACAGAAGCCCTGTGAAAGCATCACAGCTTTGCCGATCTCAGAGTGTTAAAAGAAAAAAAATTCCTGTATCTGCATCGTGATCCGGAACATCACCAAACTTTAAAGTTGTGTTCCTTGGCCCAGTACGCACATGTGGTAAAAATGTCATGACAATCTGTCCACAAATTTTTGAGTAATGTTGTCCACAGACAGAACAACAGACAGACATCCGCGACCGAAAATATCACCTCGCCCTTGGCGGAGGTAACAACCCACGGCCACAAGATAATTTTGAGCAGCAGTGTCAGACATTGTTGGAGTCAGATTATGTATGAATACACTGTTTTTGTGTCTAACTGTTCAAAGCAAAGCAAGGTGAGAGGAGGAGACCTTTTTGAGTGTTAAGCTTGTTAAGTGTTAAGTTTTTGGAGATGAAAGTAAAGGTTTGTTGGTGGTGCTGCACTATTATCTTTGTTTTTGTGTCTTATATTATTTTTTAATAAATAGTTTACGGGGCTGTTCCAGCTCCTTGAATCAGTGGTTCACAAACTTGGTGTTTGGACCCCACAAAGGATCACCAAGTCAGGAAGCTTGAGATGATCCTCAGGAATAGTTCAGTTTTAAAATCATAACGGGTTTGTTTTGCAATAGTTGCTAAATTAGATTTAAAAAAATGTATTGAATTGAAAAATAGTACTATGGTTAGGATTATTTATTATTTTGTTGCTCAGTACCTAAAAGTTTGGAAATCACTGATTTCATTGATCCAGCTGAGTGATCGATACACAAGTAAGGAATCTCAGGGCCACGTTGTGTTTATAAAATGTCGTCATTTTGGATAAATATTTTACATATTTCTTCAGATTTTATTGTTCTTTTAAACGCTTGTTTCTACCAGTAATACGTTTGAGTCTAATTTTAAACTTGTGTTTGTGTTTTTGGTGTGTTAATAGTTTCTTTTTTTTTCAGTCTAGTCAAAGAATTTCATGATATGAAGCAGAAACAAAATAACCTTGAAAAACAGCAAGAAGATGATTTATTTAGTGTTCATTAACTTCAGTCAAAACCTTTAATAAACGATTTTTTCCCCTTTTTTAGTCCAGCTGGGTGTTCTATCTTGGCTTTTATACCGTGTGTGTGTGTGTGTGTGTGTGTGTGTGTGTGTGTGTGTGTGTGTGTG